GTGTGGCTGATGTCAGGGTAAGTGCTGTGACCCCTGGTGTGATGTTCTGAGACAGAGGGTCAGTGCTGTGACCCCTGGTGTGATGTTCTGAGACAGAGGGTCAGTGCTGTGACCCCTGGTGTGATGGTCTGAGACACAGGGTCAGTGCTGTGACCCCAGGTGTGATGTTCTGAGACACAGGGTCAGTGCTGTGACACCCCGGGTGTGATGCCCTGAGACACAGGGTCAGTGCTGTGACCCGTGGTGTGATGTTCTGAGACACAGGGTCAGTGCTGTGACACCCCGGGTGTGATGCCCTGAGACACAGGTCATGTGCTGTGACCCCTGGTGTGATGTTCTGAGACACAGGGTCAGTGCTGTGACACCCCGGGTGTGATGCCCTGAGACACAGGGTCAGTGCTGTGACCCCTGGTGTGATGTTCTGAGACACAGGGTCAGTGCTGTGACACCCCTGGTGTGATGCCCTGAGACACAGGGTCAGTGCTGTGACCCCTGGTGTGATGTTCTGAGACACAGGGTCAGTCCTGTGACACCCCGGGTGTGATGCCCTGAGACACAGGGTCAGTGCTGTGACCCCTGGTGTGATGTTCTGAGACACAGGGTCAGTGCTGTGACCCCTGGTGTGATGTTCTGAGACAGAGGGTCAGTGCTGTGACCTCAGGTGTGATGTTCTGAGACACAGGGTCAGTGCTGTGACCCCTGGTGTGATGTTCTGAGACACAGGGTCAGTGCTGTGTCCCCTGGTGTGATGCCCTGAGACACAGGGTCAGTGCTGTGACCCCTGGTGTGATGTTCTGAGACACAGGGTCAGTGCTGTGACCCCTGGTGTGATGTGCTGAGACACAGGGTCAGTGCTGTGACCCCCCTGGTGTGATGTGCTGAGACACAGGGTCAGTGCTGTGACACCCCTGGTGTGATGTTCTGAGACACAGGGTCAGTGCTGTGACCCCTGGTGTGATGTTCTGAGACACAGGGTCAGTGCTGTGACCCCTGGTGTGATGCCCTGAGACACAGGGTCAGTGCTGTGACCCCTGGTGTGATGTTCTGAGACACAGGGTCAGTGCTGTGACCCCCCTGGTGTGATGTTCTGAGACACAGGGTCAGTGCTGTGACCCCTGATGTGATGTACTGAGACAGTACAAAGAGTGGCACTCACAGGACAAGGTACCTGTTCTCCCCAGCATGATGTTCCTGAGGTATTCTGTATCTTCAGTATGACATCTCTGGCTCACCATGTTCTAATTGTTGTCATGAAGCTGAAGTTATGATTCTCATTCTCTCTCTCTGTCTCTGTCTCTCTCTGTCTCTCTCTCTGTCTCTCTCTGTCTCTGTCTCTCTCTGTCTCTGTCTCTGTCTCTCTCTCTCTCTCTCTCTCTCTCTCTTTACACAGTTTGACAAGGTTAAGGATCCCTAGCTTTATTAACAAGCTATTTACAGGTTAAGGATTCCTAACTTTATTGGCAAGCTAAGAGCTGTTACCTACATCAGCTCATTTGAAAGCATTTTTATTGTTATGAGACATAAAAGTAGGGAACAGGATGAAATTGGAGCCATCTGTGGGCCAGCATTTTCATTTGATCATCTGACTTTATCTCGTTGACATCATTATGCTGTACGAATGTGTTTCATACTCGAGTCATCCTGGGTATATATGATCTCAGATGGAGTGATGTTCTGGAGAAGGGTACAGCCAGAGTGAAGTTGCTGCTTTCTGCCCGTCTTGTGGCATAAAAGCTTGTTTCACACTGTCCTCGAAGTGGATCCAAGTGTGGTACTTTGACAATATTGGCCTTGTACATAACAGTAAGGCCACCCACATCCCTTCTATGTTGAAGGCTCTGCTGAAATGACAGATCTATCCAGGATGGGTCCAGGCGAGAGATGAGACGTCTTGCTCTGTTCTCTACTCTGTCAAGCAGTCGCAGATGAGAGGGGGGGGGCAGGCAAACCAAGAAAGTGGAGCATACTCAAGGTGTGAGCGTACTTGTGCCTCGTACAGAATCTTGCAACCCCTACTGTCAAGTAGATGCGAGATACGGCGAAGTGCTGTAAGCTTCCGGGCTGCCTTGTTTGCAAGATTTACAACATGGTTCTTCATGGTTAGTTTGGAGTCAAATTTCACCCCAAGGATATCAACTTCTTCTCCAGGTGCCAACACCCTCCCATTCATCCTTACTACTGCACCAGCATTACCAACATGGTGCCTAGAGACAATCATCATTTGCGTTTTCTCAGGTGCAAATGTTACTTGCCATCTATTTCCCCAAGCTGGTATAGCTCTCAGCTGGTGATTGATGTAGCTTATTAGAGCAGCTGGCACTTCTTCTCTTGGATAAGTGAATGTCAGTGTACAGTCGTCTGCATATGCATGTGATTCTGGGATGAGATGAAGGAGGTCGTTGAAGTAGACATTCCATAACAATGGTCAAAGCACGCTTCCTTGTGGAACACTTTCCCCAATAGGATGTCTTGCTGATTCCGTTCCATTGAGAACTACACTTAGAGATCTACCATGAAGGTAATCACTGAGGAGACATAGCATAGAGCCTGCAATTCTCAGTGCTTGAAGTTTTGCTAAGAGGCCCTGGTGCCACACCCGGTCGAAAGCGCCAGCAATGTCCAGTGCTACCACACAGCTGACTTTGGATTCATCCAGTGACTGGTGCCACTTAGTGGAGAGGTTTAACAACAGATCAGCAGCAGAGTAACCTTTCCTGAAGCCATATTGACGATCACAAAGTAGTGAGTGATAGTCAAAAAACTCTGTCATTTGTCTTGAGATTATTGTCTCAAGGATCTTACCAGTGATTGACAGGAGTGACACTGGTCTGTAGTTGCTGATTTCTGCTCTGCTCTTCTTTTTGTGAACAGGGACTACATTTGCCTCTTTCCATAGAGAGAGCCATTTACACTACTAGGCAGTGCTGAAAGATGGCCATTTACACTACTAGGCAGTGCTGAAAGATGCGAGTTAGAGGTGCTGCTAGCTGGTCTGCACATCTCGGCAATCTTGGGCTCAAATTGTCTGGGCCCACAGCCTTTTCTTGGTCAAGCGATTTAAGAAGGAAATGCACCTCCTCCTGCCTTATTGTCACCACTGACAGTTTTGACACAGTTCTTGCAGCTAGCCAAGGAGGGTCCCTTGCTGGATCAGGAACTTGCATTTTGGTAGCAAAGTGTTCAGCAAAGAGGTCTGCCTTCTCTTGACTACTAGTAGAGGTGGTCCCATCCTGTCGATTTAGAGGTGGAATGAGTTCATCAGGCAGATAACCTTGTCTGTCCTTGCAGGGACCACCAGGTTTTGGAGCCTACCCTACCTGATGCTAGCTTTCTTTTAGTGTCCACCTCCCATTTAGCAATGGCCCATTTTTGAACGTCACCCATATGCCTACAGGCTTGCCTGTGCAAGTTCCTGTTATAGGTGGTAGAATGTCTCTTATACCTTCGCCATGCTTTGTACTTAGCAGTAGCAGCCTCTCTACAACAAAAGCCAAACCAAGGCTGATCTGTAGGCTTCGTCACATATTGCCGGTGAGGAATGTGTTCTTGTTGTAGATTAAGGATGTGTCCAGTGAAGGCTTTCACTTGGTTGTCAACATCCCCTTGGAGAAGAGCATTTCAATTGGTGGTGGAAAGCTCAGAGCGAAGGGCTGGCCAATTACCTCTTTTCCATAGCCAGGTTGTGCGTGTGGACTCCTCACCTCGTTCTGTTGGGATCTCAAGTGTCGTAAAAACAGCTGCAGGGATGTAGGTCTGTGGTCTTGTATAAGGCACAATACCACCTGCTGGGCTGGGATAGGAGTAGCTGAGTGGGTGACATGTGAGAGTGTTCACCAATTCATTCATTCATTCTCTCTCTCTCTCTTTTTCTTTTACATACATACATACATACATACAGAGGTGTGATAAAGCTCAGGGTTCAGGGAGAGTGACCTAGTAGCAACCAGTGAAGAGGCAGGGCCAGGAGCTTGGACTCAACCCCTGCAACCTCAACTAGGTAAGCACATACATACATTAGCAACATTTAATATCATGTGCATACTTTATACTCATTATGTAAACATGAACCATGGTATAAAATAGTGAGAAGTGAGAGTATCTGTATGTTCTTGATAATTCTGATTCCAGTACCTCCAGTAGATGATAGATATTAAAAGTGACAGCAGTAAAATATATGAACTGATGAACACTAAAAGATGTGTTCTACATATGTGAATAAACACACAGGAGACTACATGGACAAGGTAGCATGGACAAGCTAGTAAATAACTGAACATATTACAGATGTATAAAAACAATCACATGCACCTAGATACATATGACAACAAAGAGAAGCAGATAGCTTGTTGAAGAGGGGAAGAGAGAAGTATGACCCAGTATCTGAGAGGCAATCTTACTATATAGAAGCACACAGTAGACAGCGCCAGGCAAGAGTGCTTCGACGTTCTCACAACAACACATCATATGGCTGATATTGCTACATGTAAGACATTTTTCTACTGTGTCTTGCAAGGAGGGAGACGATGATTGATGATGATGATTCTCAAGGGGGGGAGGTAAGGTATCTTGATGCCTGTGAAGGGCTTTCGCCTTTCGATCCAAAGAATTGGATCGAAGCTGAGTGTCTCCCATTACCTTGATGCTTCTGACCCCTGTGGGTCTAGTGCCCCCACCATGAATGCAATAATAATAATAATAATAATAATAATAATAATAATAATAATTTTTACAATAACCTAGACTTCTCCTCCTAAAATTTAAATTTTACAAATTTTTGAATACCATGATAAATTTTTTTAACAATACATAATAAAACCAATTAATATTGTTTACCTTATAAAACAAACATTTTTTTATAATCCAATATAATTCATACATAATTCGCAGCACCTACAGTTACTGTTAAACAAAACGCTGAACAATAGTCACGGAAACAAAAAATCATAGACATTGCAAAAAAAAAAAAAAGGCACATAATGCAAAAATGAAAAATATTGATCTCATTTTAAATTCCTTTATTAATACAACCTTCACAATTCAAGGTGTACACATGTTCTCCAACCTTGTAAGGAACATTACAGGACGGCAAGTGTTGTCATGATGGCTTAGTACAGGAGAGAAGCCATGGACAAGACACAGGTCTGTGAGAAGTGACGGCATCTGTCGAGAAATTTCCTCCACAGGGGGTGTCGATCTCTCTCAAGGGGCTAAGATCCCTTTCAAGGGGTAAGACCCCTCAAGGGGGGTAAGACCCCTCTCAAGGGGCTAAGACCCCTCTCAAGGGGGCTAAGACCCCTCTCAAGGGGGCTAAAACCCCTCTCAAGGGGGCATCCACCCCTCTCAAGGGGGCATCGACCCCTTTCTCTACTTTCCCACACTGGTAGTACAGGTTTTCTTCACAGCGTCTTTAAGTCAGTGCAAGTTACAGCATCAGTACTAAGACAGGGGCGGCTCCACAAGTTAGATATAGATGGGGTTTAGGGGCTGGTTTTCTGGTTGGAAGAAGGGGCTAGGGAGGATGCCTTTCTTGAAGCAACGCTGTTATTTCTGCTTTTATTTTTGTTTGGGGGGCTTAGAGAAGGGATAACTGAAGTGTTGGCAAGATTCAGAAACCTTATGGTGTCACTGTTGTACATGACACAGCACAAGTACTGGTGTACATGACACAGCACAAGTACTGGTGTACATGACGCAGCACAAGTACTGGTGTACATGACACAGCACAAGTACTGGTGTACATGACACAGCACAAGTACTGGTGTACATGACACAGCACAAGTACTGGTGTAAAGGACGCAGCACAAGTACTGGTGTAAAGGACACAGCACAAGTACTGATGTACGGGAGACGTCACTAAAGCCACGTAGCATGTAACACTATGATCATAACTGTAGATTCAAGTCAGGCAGTACATCACCAGTGTACAAATATGATAGCCACTACGGTCACCAAGTTCTTAACCCAGCAGCTTAAACTATTCCATAAAACAAACAAGGTTTAGCTAAGTCTACCCCTGCACACACAATCTTAAAACTGAAAAAAAATACACAAGTATCCAAATCTGACACTAGGTTAATACTTGACCTCTTACAATACTTTACATACTGGCTGAGCAGAGCTGGAAAACCCCTGTATGGGTTTAGCAGTTTTTTAGTGGATACATGAAGAATTTTACAATAGGCTAAGATGTATTCAGGTGTGGCTGTGCTAATCAGATCTAAAGCTCTGATAGTAACCCCTCTGGTATGAGGCTTTGGCTAACCTGTGGTGAGATCACAATTCTCTTCAACCCAAAGATGCTCTTTCAAAATACAACAGTGACTTGAAAGGATTAAAAAAAAAAAAGGCAAAATGCCATGAGTGGAATAATACACAAATAACCTGCATATAGGAGAAACTCTCAGCGATGGTCCAATTTGGCCCACTAACTAACAAGTCACACTTGTTAATGGTCTAAGTCAAACCGAAACGAGATTGAGAAATATCTTTCTCCTATACTTGGGTTACACATGTATAGAGAACTGCTTATCCTTTCAATTTAACTACCAGTTGTTAATAGGAAAACATAAAATGGTGTAGCAGTGTACAGACTCGCATATTTAAACTCTCAAAGCTAGTTTAAACTAAGAGACTCACTTTAATGAAGCATTTAATTGAAAAACTCCACTGCTAATATACCTCTGAGAATATTATAACACAACAACGAAAAAGTTAAATATATATATTATATTGACACGAATACTGTGACAATCACAGCATACTGTGGCAGTACAGAATACTGTGGCAGTCACAGCATACTGTGACAGTACAGAATACTGTCAGTCACAGCATACTGTCACAGTCACAGCATATTGTGACAGTCATAGTATACTGAATCACAGCATACTGTGACAGTATAGCATACCATGACAGTACAGCATACTGTCACAGTACAGCATACTGTGACAGTATAGCATACTGTGACAGTATAGCATACTGTGACAGTCACAGCATACTGTCACAACATACCATGATTGACAACATACGGTGACAATACAGCATATCATGACAGTATAGCATACTGTGACAGTACAGAATACCATGACAGTACAGCATACCATGACAGTACAGCATACCATGACAGTACAGCATGCTGTGACAGTACAGCATACCATGATAGTATAACATACTGTGACAGTACAGCATACCATGACAATACAGCATACTGTGACAGTACAGCATACCATGACAATACAGCATACTGTGACAGTACAGAATACCATGACAGTACAGCATACTGTGACAGTACAGAATACCATGACAGTCACAGCATACTGTGACAGTACAGCATACCATGATTGACAGCATACTGTGACAATATACTGTGACAGTACAGCATACCATGACAGTACAGTATAGTATGACAGTACAGCATACTGTGACAGTACAGAATACTGTGACAGAGTCAATATATACACTAAACTCTCTTAATTACATCATAACACATCAATTACAGCATTATAAACAGCATAACTGTAAACAAAAAATCGGGTAAGTATAATGCACACGGAAGTAATGCTTATTGTGGCATATGTAATGCTGCTTGTGGTATTGTATTCCCTGGTATTGTATTTTCTGGTATTGTATTTCTGGTATTGTATTTCTGGTACTGTGGTATTGTCAATGATTTTTTCCCCTTTGAGATTTGTTCCTGGTGTTGCATTTGGTGATTATTACTGTATTATCATGCTGTATTCTCCCACTGGATGCTGACCTCCAGCATCCCTCAAAGAAGATACAATATATTCTCCCACTGGATGCTGACCCCCAGCATCCCTCAAAGAAGATACAATATATTCTCCCACTGGATGCTGACCCCCAGCATCCCTCAAAGAAGATACAATATATGGGAATCTCATTGAAATTTGCAGAGTGACTGACCGGCTCTATGTATCTTCACTAAAGAAACATTTATTACATCCATGGAAGCTTTGAGGTGACATGTTCAATCCTCTGGTTCAACGGGAGGGTTGTGCTGTAATCTATACACATCTATAATGTTTATATTTAATATATATAGAGAGAATAATCATTGTATTATATTTCTTAAACCTTGTTTTCTTGCTTATGATAATTTACGATTTTTCGGATTATTTTCTGTTTGCTGTTAAAAATAAAATATTTTGACTAAAAATCCATTATTTTACAGTCAGAAAGTTAAATATCTTTGATTTTATTGAACACTTCATATGACTTTTTTGTTAAAAAATGTGAAACACTAAAAAATTGAGAAAAAATGTGCTCAAATTTATAATACTGTCCTAGAGAATAAGGAAGAATTATTATCTATTTTGTGATATAAATAATCTATTTCGTGAGAACTTGTGATGTTTTCTGAGTGACGGGGGTTGGGGGGCGGGGAAGTTTTATTCTTGTGTTCGTCTGACTCTTCCTCGACTCTTTCTTCTTGTACTTCCTCCTACTTCTTGGTAAGAGATGCCTTGCGTTCCTTCTCCATCTGTTTCTTCAAGTCTGCTTCCAGTTGCTTCACTCTGGCTCGTGTCATCGCAACACCTTCGTCACAGCACTCCTTGTAGTAAGGGAAGTTACCCTGCAAAGAGAATACAATACAGTGATGCCTCAACACATTCCTTGTAGTAAGGGAAATTACCCTGCAAAGAGAATACAACATAGTGATGCCTCAACACACTCCTTGTAGTGGGGGAAGTTCCCTTACAAAGAAAATACAACACAGTATTTTAGTCTTGTTAGAGGAACCTGTTCTGTAAACGATACAACACGAAGGATCTTACTTATTTTTGTTTAACAGTTTGTATACCGTCATTATTAGATAACCTTTGTTGAGGAAGTTATTGAAATTTAAGGAGTTAGAGTATATTAGATCAAGGTGCAGTTTATGAATAAGAAGAAATGGGTTACAATAAAATTTATTTATACGTATTGGTGATTGAATAATTACTGTGAAGGAAGATTTAATTGTAATATACAATTTAGTAAGTTAGTATGATATGAGAACTAAAATATGTGCGTATCGCCCGTCGCTTCCATTTAAGGTGGAATAAGTCGTAACATAGTAGGTGTACTGGAAAGTGTACCTAGAATTAAAATTTACTTTGGCAGAAAATATGCGTTAAATTTAGAATTTAATTATATAGGAAATACTCTATAAGTAAAAGTATTATGTGGTTAGTACTGTGATTGTTATAGTTGTAAGATATTTAATGATGATGGTTTATGTATTGGTTGGGGTGGCGTTTGTGACTCTTCTTGAACGGAAGATTTTAGGATATACGTATTCAAATTTGAAAGGGGCCTAATAAATTAGGTGTTTTGGGGTGGCTTCAACCTTTTTCAGATGCTGTGAAGTTGTATTTAAAAGAGCAAAACTTACCTTTAATATCTAATTTTTTACCTTACTATTTATCACCAGTATTTGGTTTGTTTATTGCTTTGGTTTGTGAAGGATCATTCCATATGAGTTAAGGTTAGTAAATTTTGATATAGGTGTATTATTTTTTTTATGTTGTTTAAGGTTAGGAGTTTATCCTTTAAAGAGAGCTGGGTGGGCTTCTAATTGTAAATACTCTTTATTGGGAAGACTTTGGGCTGTAGCACAAACTATTTCATATGAAGTGAGATTGGCTTTAATTCTATTATCTTATGTTTCTTTTAACTTGGAAATTCAGATTAATAGAATTAAGATATTATCAGGAGAGGTTATGACTTATTTGGTTGATGTTTCCGCTATCTATGGTTTGGTTAGGTTCTTGTCTAGTGGAGATAAATTGAACTCCTTTTGATTTTGCTGAGGGAGAATTTGAATTAGTCTTTGGATTTAATACTGAGTATAGAAGAGGAGGGTTCATGTTGATTTTTATAGCTGAATATGTTAGAATTTTGTTTATAAGGGGAGGTATCTACATTGCTATTTTTAGGTGGGAGTGGAGTGGAGTGGATAGATAGGAATAAGCCAGTTGCAATTTGAGCCACTAAGCATAATCCTAAGAGAGATCCAAAATTCCAAAAAATTGAAATATTTCTGAGAATTGGTATATCAACAAATGCAGAATTAGCGAGTTTAAATAGTGGGTGAGATTTATGTAAAGGTGAAGTCATAAGTTCTATGAAGGATGGGCTAGATTAGTTTAAAGAAAATAAAGGTAGATGATGGTATTAGGAATCGAAGATTTAAGGTTATTAGTTATGTTTTTTTGTGGATTCTGAGCGTTTATTTCAAATCATAAGCATTTGTTAAATGTTTTATTAGGGTTGGAGTTTATTATATTGAATGTGTTTGGGGTGATGAGAGTTTATGTAGCTAGAGTGGGTTTAGAGGGGGTATTTGTAATTTTTTTTTTGGTTATGGTTGCATGTGAAGTAGCTTTAGGTTTGTCTTTGTTAATTTCAGCTGTTCGTTCGCATGGTAACGATTATTTTAGGAGATTTGGTATTTTAGTATGTTAAAATTTTTGGTATTAATTTGATTTTGATAAGGTTTGTGATGAATTGAGGGTTGATTCAAATTAGTTTATTAGTTATATGTTTTATAGGATTATTAATAATAAACCATGATTTTCATTTTTTTTTGTGGGTTATATAATAGGAGCTGATTATTTAAGTTATATTTTGATTGTGTTAAGAGTTTAAATTGTTATGTTAATAGTTTATGGGAGGGCAATAGTGAAGAAGATCGGGAATTTTTACTCTAGGTTCTTGTTAGTGAATTTAATTTTGTTGTTAGTTGATTTTAACTTTTAGGTCAGTTAATTATCTAATGTTTTACATTAGCCTTGAAAGGTCATTAGTTCCTATACTTGTATTAATTTTAGGTTGAGGTTATCAGCCTGAACAGATTCAGGCTGGAATTTATATACTGTTTTATACTCTGTTTGCTTCATTATCTTCTAAGTTTCTTTATTAAGGTTGTATGAAAGCATAGGAAGCTTAAATATAGGCTTATTATCGGGTGGGGTTGATTGCCAAGGTGTTAGTGTGTTTATATTTTTGTTCTGTATTTGCATTTATAGTAAAATTACCTTTATTTATATTTCATTTGTGATTACCTAAGGCTCATGTGGAGGCTCCTGTTGCAGGATCAATAGTATTAGCTGGAGTATTACTGAAGTTAGGTGGTTATGGTGTAATTCGAATTTTAAGAGTATTTTCAGAGGCTAATAAAATATTTTGTTGAGTGTGAATGAGCTTGGGAATTTTAGGAGGGGTTGTTATTAGTTTAATGTGTTTATGTCAAGTGGATATGAAGTCCTTAATTGCTTATTCTTCAGTGGCTCACATAGGACTGGTATTAGGGGAACTTGTTGTTATGAGAAGTTGAGGATTAAATGGAGCTTTGGTAGTGATGGTGGGTCATGGTTTGTGCTCTTCAGGTTTATTCTGTTTGGCAAATATAGTTTATGAATGTTTAGGTAGACGGAGTTTGATAACTAGAAAGGGTTTATTGAATATTATACCAAGTATAGGTCTGTGGTGATTTTTATTGGTTGTAGGTAACATAGCTGCTCCTCCTACTTTGAATTTAGTAGGAGAAATTAGTTTAATCATTAGGGTGGTAAGATGAAGAAAGTTGATTACATTTAGAGTAGGGGCTTTATCTGTTTTTAGTGCCTGTTATACTTTATATATATATTCTTTAAGGCAACATGGGTTATTTTTAAATTCATTATATTCTTGTTGTTCAAGTAAAATAGGGGAATATTTTGTTTTGTTGATGCATGGAGTTCCAGTAAATATTATGTTCATAAAAGGAACTTTAGTTTTGTGTAATTTATAGGATAAGATGGCTGAGATTGAAGGTGTTAGATTGTAAATCTAAATAGAAGTGAAGACTTTCTTATCAGTTAAGGGTAAGATTTAAAAGATTCTCCTTTTTTTGACAGCTTTGAAGCCCTTGTGGCTTAGCGCTTCTTTTTGATAATAATAATAATAATAATAATAATAATAATAATAATAATAATAATAATAATAATAATAATAATAATAATAATTGACAGCTTTGAAGGATGTTAGTTTAAATTAACTTAAAATCTTAGATAACTAAAAGTATAGATGGGATAAAAAGACCAAATAAATTAATTGAAGATCACAAAGGAGTTGAGAAAATTTTGAGGTTTTTGTAGTGGTGGAAGTTCCCTTACAAAGAGAATACAACACAGTGATGCCTTCAACACACTCCTTGTAGTGGGGGAAGTTCCCTTACAAAGAGAATACAACACAATGACACCTTCAACACACTCCTTGTAGTGGATTAAGTTCCCTTATAAAGAGAATACAACAGAATGCAACTATTTCTTTTTTGAAGTATACAAAATGTACTTTATGTGTAATAAAATATTGTTAAGCAGGAAAGAAAGCTGCTAGCATGCTGTGTATTTCTGACAGGAGGTTGGCTAGTTTATTTATGCTTCAGAAAGGAAAGGACAATGGTGTACAAACAGCTCACATCCAAAAGCCCCTTCACCTCTCCATACAATATATTCTGATGATGTAGACACATGTGCAACACCTGGGTATCTTTATTTGTAGATATTTCACCTTTCAGAGGATATAATAGATTTTTTTTCCTCTTCAAGGGGGGCTCCTTGGCGTGGTGAAGAGGCTCTTGGTCTGAGGAATTAGACCTGTCGGTCTTCTTCCTCAGACCGAACCTAATTACCCCCCATTCTCCCCTCCCCTATCCCATCCTCCTCATCCTCCCCTTTTTCCATTCCTCCTCCTCCCCACCCCTCCCTTTTGCCCTTCCTCTTTTTGGCCTTTGGGATTTCTCCCACAGGCGTGCTAGTTCCTAGGTAGGGGAAAGGACACCGGGGTCCATCCCATTCCGTTGAGGTTCTTGGCGGTGGCGTAGTTTGCCGTGGAATCTGGATCGCCTGGGGATGTCCCGATCCCTCTCCGGTATCCCGGAATAGCTTTGGGTATCTTTCGGGCGACGGGTGTATCTCTGGAAGCCACCTTTCGGATTCCGGGGGTGGTGGCCGAAGGAGGTATGCTTTGTGGCGGATATCTGGCCGCCCTCTCTCTTGTCCACTGAGGTAGCTCGGCAGATGTGAGGTTGCTATCCCGGATTGCTGGTTTACTGGCATGAAGGGTAGGGTATGGCACGGGTTCCATGCTGCATCTGCGCTACTAGCGGTGCTGAGGTCCTCTTGGGCGCGGAGGGAGATTTCCGGCCCTTTCATTCCTCCTGGGAACTATTCCTCCCCGCTCCCCCCTTTTTTTATTCTTTTTTTATTTTTATTTTCTTTTCTTCTTTCTTTTTTTTTTCTTAAAAACAAAAAGCAAAGGAGTAACCTAACCATGGAGAACCCAATCCATGAACCCACTACCCCCAGGCCCCTTCTTGATACCGCACCCCATTCTGACCCTGCCTTGTGTTTAGACCACTCTTCGGACACTCCTGATGCCCCTGTACCTCTTGCTGGTGCTGTTTCCTCACCCGCTTCAGGTACCGGGCTTTCGACTGACTCCTTCGATTTGTCTGAACTCCGCTCTCCTTTGACTATGCTTCCGGCTTCTCCCTCTACGGTACGGCAATTTTCGAATCGCCCGCCCATTTCACGCCGGACCAACTCC